GGGTTCTCATTGTACTCCCCTAGAGGACTATTGGTATTTGGTGGGGATATGTAATTTTGGTTTTTCGTTATTTTTTCCTCTGTGATTTTGACGTGTGAATTTCTTTTGTAGTTTCTGATTCTTGTGTGAGACTCAAGTCTTCAAGTTCAGGTCTGCTTCTTTTTGTAAACTTTATGTGCCTTTGTGGTTTACTTTTTTGGGCATGAAGTTCTCGCTCATCTAAGCTTCCTGTTCTCTCTTTTGGTTTTATATTGGAGTGGCCCATTTGCTTTTGTCTTCATGAGTTCCCACAGAGGCCCAAGTCAGATGAGGATCAGATGCTCTCAGGCTTTCTCCTAAGGTCTGGATCCCTCCAGGAAAGATTTTGGCCTCAGGAATTTGGGGGTTGGAGTTGCCTGGGAGCCAGGCCCAGGAAAAATGCTGGTCTATGGCAGCTGGTGGATGTGCCACCCAAAAATGCAAAGGGAGATGGGGGCGGGAAGAGGCCCCAAGGGCTCCTGGGGACTGCACTGAGGAACTGAGTTGGTCTGGATGCAAAGGATCAGGAAGCCAAAAGGTCAGCCCCGGTGTCCAGGAAAGAGGCTGGTGGGTTGTGCAGCCCAGGGAAGCAGAGGGAGGTGAGGGTGGCACCAGGCCCAGAGGGCTCCTGGGGACCTAGAGAAAGAACTGGGTCCATTTGGATGCACAAGATAAGGAAGCAGTGGTGGCTCTGGCCCAAGAGGTCAGCCCCAGGGTCCAGGAAAGAGGCTGGTGGGCCCTGCAGCCCAGGGAACCAGAGGGAAGCGAGGGCAGGACCAGGCCCAGAGGGCTCCTGGGGACCTTGAAAAGGAACTGAATTGGTTTGGATGCAAAGGATCAGGGAGCAGTGGTATTCCCTGGTGTCTGGGGCACCAAGACAAGGAATGGTACAGGACCCAGCCTAGGAGGAGAGACCTGCAGGGAAGATGGGGGGTGTGTGCATGAGGCTGGGGGAGTCAAGGCATGGAGGGTGCAATCAACTTACTTGGAAAGAGGCCTTCAGGTCATGCTAATTTTTGACCTTTGATGATTCGAATACATTTTACTATTGCCAGATGTTTTGCAACCCCCACATTCAGTTACACAACCCCATTTGGGCTCATGATCCACAGTTTTAGAAGCTGTGCTATCATTAAATACCCTCCTTCTTGTCTCTCTTTGATCTGTATCAAAGGCAGCTAGATTTATCAAGGATGGTAGGGACTTCAGTAGTCAATGTGGGACCCTGGAAATGTGCCACTTTTTTGGCAACATTTCATCTGGCATGGGTTATTAATTTGCACTCCAGCAGGTATAATAACTCATACCTATAATCCCAGTCCTTGGAAAGCTGAGGCAGGAGGAACTGAGAGTTTGAAGCTAGCCTACGTTACATGAAACCATGTCTCAAAACAATAATAACATCTCCTCTCTCTTCCACTTATAAGAATAAATTCAAGGGGCTGGAAAGATGGCTCAGCGGTTAGGAGCACTGATGGCTCTTGCAGAGGACCCAGGTTCAATTTCCAGAACCCACATGGCAGCTTCGAACCGTCCTTAAGTCCAGTTCCAGGAGACTCTGAAGTCCTCTTCTGACCTTCACAGTCATTGCACAACACGGGTGCACTCACATACATGCAGGCAATATACTCATATACATAAAATAAAAATAGTAAAATATTTTAAAAAAAGAATAAATTTGAAACTGGGAGACAGATTGGGATAGAGCAATTTTCAGTGTTTGGACCAGCGTCATCAGAATCATTTGGAACTTTGTTAGGAATTAATATTGACCAGCCCACCACTGACCTACAGAATTTGAAACTCTAGGTGGACATCCCCACCTGTGTTTTAACATACTCTCCGGATAACTCTGGTACTTGCTAAAGTTTGAGAAGCACTGGTGTTCAAAAGGGTACGACCACTGGGTTTGTGGTCAGACAGTTCTGGATTCCCAAAGTACCTTTGTTCTGCCTTTTCCTGTTTGAGAGACTCAAGCTTGCACTTCTACCTTATCCTTAGTGTGCACATCCGTGAAAGGGAGGTAAGGGGCATGTCTATCTAACAAGGCTGTTTAGTCATTATTTTTTAAGACTTATTTTTGTTTTTTATTTATGTGTATGCATATAATGTCTATACATGTGTATGCCACATGTGTGCACTTGTTCATGGAACACAGAGGACTGCATTGGTTCCCCTGGAGCTGGAGTTACAGAAAGTTGTAAGCTGCCTGAGTAGATGTCAGGAACCAAACTCAGGTCCTCTGAATGTACCTGAGCAAGTACTCTTAACTGCTGAGCCATCTCTCCAGCCCTATTCATTCTTTTTGAGGAAGGATAGAAAGACAGGAAAAATTAAGGGTCTTGAAAAGGGAAAGAAGCCCCCCCACTCTGGAGCCTCGTTTTCTTTTCTCATTGACTGAGATTCAAGAAACTTCAATACAACTGATAAAACCAAAATTTCCTACAGAAATAGAGCTTGTTTTCCCAAGGACATCTCAAATGAAGATGTTAAAAACAAATGAATGGTGCTTACTTAGGGCTAGAATGTATGTAACCTTAAATTGTTACCATATTAGGACCCCCTCTCATCCCTAAACCTAAACAATCCACCCCATAAAACCACCTTACAGTCTTTTAAACATCACTTTTATTTAATGTGCACTACATTAAAAATATGGAACGCTCACAAATTTGTGTGTCCTCCTTGCACAAGGGCCATGCTAATCTCTGTATCATTCCAATTTTAGCATATGTGCTGTTGAAGCGAGTACAATCTTACAATTTCTTCACAAAAGAAAATTCTTCAAAGATAAGAAAAATAGGGCTGGGGATGTAGCTCAGTACCATGTTACCTACCATGCACAAAGCCCTAGGTTCAAGCTCCATACCTCAGAAAATCAGGTGTGAAGTGGTACACTGTAATCCCAGCACTTGGGAGATGGAGGCAGCATCCTAGGCTATAATGTGAGATTGAGGCCAGCCTGGGCTACATGAGACCCTGTCCCCGAAAAACAAGCAAGCCAATTCATATATTTTACCTAACTTGCCAATTGCATCCTTTAATAATGTATAGCGATGATGAAGACTGTGGGGACCTAAAGGCCCCACCTTACAGAGGTCTGAGAGGAAGTTACTGGGGCGCGGCCTGACTTATTTTAAAAGTCTGAAGAACACTTCCGCACTGCTAAGGAGTGCCTGATCAGCACGTGACCATCCTTAAGATACACCCTCAGGGGGGAAGGGGGATTTCCAGGTGCCTTTATAAGCTCTGTAACACCTGCAATAAATGAGTCCCTGCTTGACTAGGCTCCCTGTTGCATCTGATTGTCCCCAGTACTGGGGGGGTGGTGTGGGCTGGCAAATGGCGTGCTTACTCATCCCCAATCATCACTGCGTGGGGGTTGCTGGCTCGAACCCCCCGCAACTGGTGCCCAGTATGGCGCTCGAAGGAAGGTGAAAAGAAGAAAAGAAAGAAAGAAAAATAACGGATTAGGGCCAATCGAGAAATTCGGGGTAAGCAAGACCTGAAAGATGGGTAATGCAATCAATAAGCCTGAGGACCTGGCACTTAAAGCACTGAGAGATATGCTTAAAAGCAGGGGATTGGATCTGTCAGATCTGGTAGCTCAAAAGGTTTGGGCAGAGGCTATTCATTTGGCTCCCTGGCTACTTGGGGCTAATGTTTTTACTGGGGATACATGGGAACATGTGGAACATCTAGCTTGACAAAGGGAGGTTCAATTGGGGGTTGATCTGCCGCTGGAGTTCTACCCTATTATTTTGGCCTTAAAGGCATGCCTTTGGCCTGAGAGCCCTAAGCCCTTGGCATTTTACTGGGGATACATGGGAATCATGGGAAGGCTTTGAGGAAGAAGGCAGAAATGCAACAGAAGTGAAACCAAAAGCAGCCAAAGTAACAAGCGGCACCTCGGGCATGCCTTGGCCAGTTTCAGGGCTTCCTGAAACCCATGAAAACCATCCCCATTTCCAGGATTCTGGCCCAGCTCAGGAGGCTTCTGTGAGGCAACGGGTGGAAGCGTATCCTATTAATGTAAACCCAGGTGGCACACACCCTGACCCTTGGTATTCCTGGGAGGCGAATGATTTAAAGGAACAAAAAAAGGTGGTGGCTGAGGATGGCCCAGGATCACCCTGGGTAGATACTCCCTCCAAGGCTTGGCTCATCAGTAGTGTACTACAAAGGATTGGCTGGACCTCGCCAAAGCAGTCCTTCCTAGCCCTATATATATTAAATGGTGTGCCCTCTTTAAGGAGGAATGCAGGATACAGGCTGAGAGGAATGCAAGTGCCAATCCACCAGTCCCCATTACTTTTGGGATGTTGACTGGTTCAAGTGGCCGTTATGCCACAGGGGAGCAACAGTCGGGCATTCCAGCCCCATATACAGAACAGGTCAGGGTCATAGGATTAAATGCTTGGAGAAAATTGGACCAGGGGCCTACCGAATCCCCCCTTACAGGAATTAATCAAAACCCTGGTGAACCCCTCTATGAGTTTATAGACAGAGTGGAGAAGAGCTTAAAATGAAAATTACCCCCAGGCCCATTGAGGGAGAAATTCACTAAACTCCTGGTATTGGATGGAATGGATGCTGATCACAAGACAGCCTGTGCTGGCCTTAAGGACAGGTCCATGGAACAATGGATAATTGCCTCCAAGGAGGTGGGAACCCAGAGGAGACAAACCAAAGCCATGGCTGCTGTCTTACAGACACAAACAGAGGTTCTGACCCATGCCCTAACCCAGGCATTTAATTCATTTAATCTGGGACAGCAGGTAACAATGGGGCCTAGAGGAATATAAGGCCCATGTTTTGGCTGTGGCCAGACTGGCCATATTAAAAGAAATTGTCCTCAGTGAGAGAACCGGCCTAAGCCTGGAGGTTGGGGTATCAAAAAGGCCCCATCTATACCCTGTCCCCAGTGCCTCAAAGGGTTCTATTGGCAGAAGGATTGTAAATCCAGATTTGATATTGAAGGAAAGCCTTTAAACTAAGTGGGAGGCAGCCTTCAGCCCCATTAACAGAAGGAGGACTTCCCCATGATTGGCTACATTTACAATGCCCTGGAGGAGGGATCAGGAGAGGAGAAAAACCTATGGCGAATTGGACAGTCCCTATTATCCCTGGGGTAAGGCCCAAGATGGATCTTGAAATAGGTGGCAGGAGGTTTCGCTGCCTAGTGGACACGGGGGCTGATAGGACCATTCTTAGAAAGGAGGAGGTCCCATCATGATGGCACCTAGTTTCTGGGCCCCAAATCCTAGGTGTGGAAGGATACACCCCATCAGAGGAGACTCGAGAATGGCTCACCTGGCAGGATGCAGATGGAGCTAAAGGGGAGGTGCGATCCCTGGTAGCAGTAGGGTTATCTGCCAACCTCATAGGACAAGATATTTTGGGGGATGCACAGGCCTGCATAACCACTGATAACAAGGCCTTTTATGATGACTTTTTGGACCTTGAAGAGTCTGATAGGCTTCCCGAGTCAGCAACTCAGGGGTTGTCTCACCATATCAATTACAGGGGGAACCCAAAGAAAGAGCATTGGATCACCCCCAATTCTAAGGGCCACTGCCCCTCAGGTTCTGGCTATCCAGTGGTCCCCTGGGGTGCTGGTATGGGTGGAGCAATGGTCATTGCCTGAGACAAAGCTACAGGCCTTAAAGGGAATTGTGCAGGAACAATTACGGTTGGGCCACATCTGGCCTTCTATAAGTCCATGGAACACACCTGTCTTTGTTATTAAGAAAGCTTCTGGCAAATGGAGAATGTTGCAAGGCTTGCGAAAAGTCAATGCTAGAATGACCCTAGTGGGTACACCCTTAAGGGGACTGCCTTGGATCCCTGCTATTCCCTCAGATTTATTTCTTATAGTTATAGACATTAAAGATTGTTTTTTCTCTATCCCTCTACAACCCCAGGATTGTGAAAAATTTGCTTTCTGTGTACCTTCCACCAACTTTAAAACGCCTGATGAGAAGTATGAATGGACTGTTTTACCCCAAGGTATGGCCAGTAGTCCAGCATTCTGCCAAAGCTATGTGAAGACCCTTTGGGGCCTGCTCACTTGCTGCCACATGCCATTGTGTACATTTATGTGGATGATATCATCTTGGGAGCTCTAAGCCCCCAACAATTAGAAGAGTTATATAAGGTTACTCAAAAATGTCTACAGACAGGCGGATTCCATGTATCCACTGATAAAATACATACTATTACTCCCTTTAAAATTCTGGGAACCATACTGTCTTTGGAAGGAGTAAGTCCTTTAAAACCACAACTGGCTGTCAAGCCCACTGTAACCCTGACAGAGCTACAAAAATTATTAGGAGAAATTAATTGGCTATGAGCCTGGATGCCTGTTCCCACTGAGACTTTAAGACCACTGTTTCAGTTGCTAGTAGGGAAACAGCCAACAGAACTAATTCACCTGGTTCCTCAACACCTGGACATCTTACATGAGGTCGAGGATGTCCTGGACCGAGCCCAACTTACCCAGTACACGCCTAGTAAAGATCTTGAGTTATGGGTACTCTCTGGTGAGACCCTGATGACATCTGTCCTTACACAGGATGGGAAGCCCCTTCAATGGGTGCATGCCTCTCTGGGAGGCATACCACAGGTTTATATACCCATGGATCAATTGGCTGACCTGATTGAGAAAGGACGTGATGTAGCTCTGAGACATTATGGCATAGACCCTTTTAAAATTGTTATCCCTTATCAGCTTAGGGATTTTGAATGGCTCTGCAGAAATAATAACTGAATGGCCATAGCCTTGGAAGGGTTCCTGGGAAATTTGGACTGTCATTATAACCCTTATAAATGGGTGGCCTCCTTTTGCACCCTCTGTTGGGATGCCCCCAGCTCTTTGTCAGGGAGCCATTAGTAAAAGCCTACAATGTTTTCCCTGACGGGGCCAGATTTGGAGCTGCAGTGGTAGTATACCCAGGGGCAGATGAGAAACCAAAAAGATATGTCCACACTTGTGATGGCTCAGCTCAATTCAAGGAACTCATGGCCATTGCTTTAGCATTAACAAAGATAAGTGAGCCCATGAATTTGTTTTCTGACAGTCTGTATGTAGTCAGTCTTCTTCCAGGGCTATTAGGTTCTCATATCCGGTTGGTTGGGAACCACATTACTCCCTTGATTTCAGACTCATACGCTCCTTAAAGAGAGAGAAGCCCCTATTTTCTTACAGCATCTTAGGAGGCAGCAAGGATTGCCTGGGCTTTTATCCCAAGGCAATGCAGAGGCAGACAAGGTGGCTTCCACCCAGGTCCTGTCAGCAGGACTGAATGAAGCTCAGGGGTTACATAACCTCACTCATGTAAATTGGCGGGGACTCCATAAGAGGTTTCCTCAAGTTCCCATCAAGGACCTAAAGAAGATTGTACATACCTGTAAGTCTTGTCAACCCTTTCTACAGGTACCACCTCTGCAATGGCTAGGGGTAAACCCCAGGGGACTCAAGCCCAATTCCTTGTGGTAGATGGATGTCGTACATTATGCTCCTTTTGGAAAGCTTAAGTATATTTTTGTGTCCATCAACACATTCTCACATGCCTGTTGGGCTACTGCTCATACAGGAAAGAAGTCTAAACATGCTCAGTCTCATTTTCTCCAGTGCTTTGCTACGTTGGGACTACCCCAAATAATTAAAACTGATAATGGACCATGTTTGTGAATAAAAACTTACAAGATTTTTTTCACTTTGGGGAATTCAACACAATACAGGAATTCCAT